ATTACGACCAAATGGAATATTACGATCTATTACAGCGTCGCGATCAAATGCAGTATTACGACCAAATGGAATATTACGATCAAATGCTATATTACGACCAAATGGAATATTACGATCAAATGGAATATTACGATCAATTACAGCGTTGCGATCAATTGCAGTATTACGATCAAACGAAATATTACGACCAAATGCTATATTACGATCAAATGGAATATTACGATCAAATGCTATATTACGATCAAATGGAATATTACGATCAAATGCTATATTACGACCAAATGGAATACTACGATCAAATGGAATATTACGATCAAATGCATCATTGCGATCAATTGCAGTATTACGATCAAATGCAATATTACGACCAAATGGAATATTACGATCAAATGCTATATTACGACCAAATGGAATATTACGGAATATTACGATCAAATGGAATATTACGATCAAATGCTATATTACGACCAAATGGAATATTACGATCAAATGCTATATTACGACCAAATGGAATATTACGATCAAATGCTATATTACGATCAAATGGAATATTACGATCAAATGCTATATTACGACCAAATGGAATATTACGATCAAATGCTATATTACGACCAAATGGAATATTACGATCAAATGCTATATTACGACAAATGGAATATTACGATCAAATGCTATATTACGACCAAATGGAATACTACGATCAAATGCTATATTACGACCAAATGGAATACTACGATCAAATGGAATATTACGATCAAATGCTATATTACGACCAAATGGAATACTACGATCAAATGGAATATTACGATCAAATGCTATATTACGACCAAATGGAATATTACGATCAAATGCTATATTACGACCAAATGGAATATTACGATCAAATGGAATATTACGATCAAATGCTATATTACGATCAAATGGAATATTACGATCAAATGCTATATTACGACCAAATGGAATATTACGATCAAATGCTATATTACGACCAAATGGAATACTACGATCGACCAAATGGAATATTACGATCAAATGCTATATTACGACCAAATGGAATACTACGACCAAATGGAATATTACGATCAAATGCTATATTACGACCAAATGGAATATTACGATCAAATGCTATATTACGACCAAATGGAATACTACGACCAAATGGAATATTACGATCAAATGCAGTGTTGCGATCAAAGTTTACTTTCACTTTAACCAATGAAATTAACTAAGAAACTTCTTCGCAAGCAATAATTTTCTATTTTCTGTGCCATATTTGCTACAAGGAATTTGAAAGGCTAAAACAATGGGCGCATTCGTACCTCTAAGAAATACGAAAAAGACTATAAGCGCTTCGCCACGGAATTTTCAATTAATTTTTTATTAAACTTACCTATAAATTGGCTGACTCATTTATAGTATATATTCTAGGCTTGCAGTGGCCATAACTTCTGGCTGCTTTCCACATTTATAGGCCTAAGGACTGGAAAAATTTTTTTTTTTTTTTTGGAAGACTTATTTTTTTTTTTTTTTTTTTGGAAGACTTATTTTTTTTTTGGAAAAATCTTTGGAAGACTTATTTACACTCTAATGTCTGCCATGTTGATAGCATTGTGCTCACAAGTTGACAATTTGTGAAGGAAAGTTTTTTATTTCACTTTGAATTCAGCTGTTCGCTCTTATTTTTTGATTTCAGTAGCTCTGCTCGGACAAATAATATTTCTTGGAAGGAATAGTTGCTTACTGTTTATTTTCTATAGTTGCTTGTTGTTTATTGTTGCTTACTGTTTATAGTTGTTTATTGTTTATGGTTGCTTATTGTTTATTGCTGCTTATTGTTTATGATTGCTTATTGTTTATTGCTACTTATTGTTTATGATTGCTTATTGTTTATGACTGCTTATTGTTCATGCATAAATTTTACCTAATTTGATTAACTGCATGCTTCTTATATTATTTAGTCATAATTCATTTGCAATTTTAATTTCATTAGTATATGCAGAGATGGCAACCGTTTTTTTCTGAAACAATTAGTGATAACAATAATAATAATAATAAAAGAAATAGCATTAGCAGTGAAAGAAGTGACGATTGAGAAATGATTAACATTACTAGATAATAATGTTTATTATCTGTGATATATCATTGATAATTTAAAGATAAGCAAAAGACGGTTGTTTAGTGTTACCTTAAGCAAACGATAGAATTCATATCTGTTTTCCATTAAAATTGAAATTTTATTGAAATTTTGACAACAAAATGTTTGATGAAATTTATCAATTTTTATTTCTCTATTAATAATTAAAAAAAAAAAAAATGTAAACAATTTATTTCTATTCGAAATAAGTACGAATCAAAAACTTTGATAAATAATAACAAAGTTTATTTTATTGACTTTAATTTACTTCTTCTTGTTCATTTTCAAAATACACTCATAAAATTATAAAATATTTCATTCAGGAAATGGAAATGAAAATGATGAATGATTTAATTAGAAATGCTCATTTTCAAATAAACAAAATGAATTGGGAAGAGAAAGTTCAAAATTTCACTGATAACACTTGGGAATGTTTATGTGATAATGTAACTGATATTACTAATGTTAGTTAAATTTAAATTTCTACTAATTATATAAGTGATAATTTAATAATTAGACAATTAGCTAGGTAATAATAATAACATTATCATGATAATTATTAAAGTTTTATTATTAGCTTAATACTATTTTATCGAATATGATGATAAATTAGTTAAAATTAAATTTGACAATCTAATAAATACGAATTTAATTTTATAACATAATAAATTGAGCTAGGCCAATTTAAATTTTTTTTAAATTATAAATTAGCTAATAAAATTAATTGAATATAAACTTATGTATTATATTTTTAAATATTTTTTTTTTTTGTAGATACAAGAAAAATGCATAAATATAGAAAACAAATTAATAAAAATTTTTAAATATATAAAATATGATATCGAATCGAGATTGTCCACTCTGAAATCTGATTCTAATATCAGTTATTTGTCATCCAATCAGTATTATCCATTTTATAATAAAAGTAATAACTTAGAAAATACCTTAAGAGGTAAAGTAAAAGTATAATTATCATTGATTATTGATTATTTAATTACTATTTGTGAATTTCAAAAAATCATTTCAAAAAAATTATTTGTTTCATTTAAAACATTATAAAATTGTTTATTGTTTACTGCTTAACGCTTTCTTTTCTTTTTTTTTTTCTTTGAGTGATTAAATAATTTTTAGAAAAAACATTGGAAAATGATATATTATCAAGTATTTATATGATGCAGCATAGTTTACTTAAAATTGATGCATTTCAAGTAAACAAATCAAAAATTTATTTAATTTTTTATTGCCCTATATCACTAATAAACAATGATATGTTTGATTTTGATAAATTTTAAAATTTATTTTTAAAAAATTTTCATATTTTGTTTATTGATTTATTTGTTTGTTTGCTTTTATTTCAGAAACGAAAAATGGGATTGAATAAATATTGTTCAACGATACGTTTACTCATTTATGATAGAGTTAAAATTAAAAAACAATTATTGAATGTTAAATATGCAAGAAAAAAACTTGCAAATATTAAGCAAAAAATTCAAAATTCAAATTTGATAAAACAACAATCGGTTAAAATTTCCCTTAGTTCAAATTTAAATTTAGCCATTTTGAATTTAAACAAATGTTAATAGATTTTGATTAATTAATAAATTAAATATTCCACAAAGCATTTTTTTTTTTTTTAAACTTGATATTAAATAATTTTTAGCAATTTTTTTTTCAAAACATTATTTTTATTAGACTAAATGTACAAAAGTAAAAATTTTTATTTTTTTAAAAATTCGTAAATTTAAGTGATTTGAAGGACAAATTTTAAATTAATTTTAATTTGGCATTTTAAATTAATTTATTTAGCTGAATAAATGCATAGCAATGTTGGATAATATATTGGCAGCAATGCAATTTATAATAATTGAAATTGACAAACAATTTGATTCAATTTATTCGGTTAATCGATACATTGCATTATTTAATGAGTTGTACCAGCAGTTTCAGCACAATCACCAGGTATTTCATTCAAATTAAATTAAATTGAAATTGGAAATAATTGAAATTGAAAATAATTAAATTAAACTGCACAATCACCAGGTATTCCATTCAAATTAAATTAAATTGAAATTGGAAATAATTGAAATTGAAAATAATTAAATTAAACTGCACAATCACCAGGTATTTCATTCAAATTAAATTAAATTGAAATTGGAAATAATTGAAATTGAAAATAATTAAATTAAACTGCACAATCACCAGGTATTTCATTCAAATTAAATTAAATTGAAATTGGAAATAATTGAAATTGAAATTAAATTAAATTAAGCAATTACCAGGTATTTCATATAATTGAAATTGAAATTAAATTAAAAAATAATTGAGACTGAAGTTAAATTAAATTAAATTACGCAATCACCAGGTATACCATATAATTGAAATTGAAATTAAATTAAAATCACTGAGTTATTTTTAATCTTTTAAAATGGAATTTATTTAAAAAGAAAACAGAAAAGTAATCGATGAATAAAAAAAAGAAATGAAAAAAAAAATTTTTTTTTTTTTTTTGATAAGTTAGATATTATTTGAAATGATAAAAGATTAGTGCAAATATCAAAGGTTTGAATTTTGATAAAATGCTAAAAAGATAAATTGATAATCTGACAAAAAAAACCGATAATGTTTAAAAAAAGTCTCTAATCATTGCACTGATAAGAATTGATAATTTTAAATTTATTAAAATCATTTTTTAAAAAATTTTTTTACATCAATTATTTTTTCTATTATTACTAAGAAATTTTTAATTTGTGATAAAAAATGTTTTTTTGCAGAAATTTTTTTCGCAACAAAAATGGATATTTGATGAATGAAAATAAACAGTAAACAATAATTTCATTTTTTTAATTTCTTTCGAATCGCTTATTTTCTTTTTTAATCTTAATAAATTTAATAAATATATTTCTATAAAATTTTAATAAAACAATAAAAAAAAGGAAAGTATTGCTGTTATTGTTTATTTTTCATTTATTTTCATCAATTGTTTATGATTTATTTAAATTTGTTTACTTTTATTTTATGAAAAAAAAAAAGAAAAACGAGAAATTTTAAGTTTTTTCAAATTTTAACTGTATAATAAAGTTTTTTTTTGTTTCGAAACTTTCACTTCAAAAAAAAAAAAAAGAAAAGTAAGAAAAAAAAGTTTTACATTGTAAATAAATTAATTATAAAAATAGGATTTATTGTTTTTTCAAACATTAACAAAGAAATTAGATTAATTAATTAGTAAAAAAAAATATACAAATGATAATTTGTTGTGATAAATATTTTATTTATTTTTTATTTATTGTTTATTCAAACATCAACAAAGAAATTAGACTAATTAATTAATTAATAAAAAAATATGCAAATGATAATTTGTTGTGATAAATATTTATTTATTGTCTTTCCAAACATTAAAAAAGAAATTAGATTAATTTCCAAGAAAAACAAACATTAACAAAGAAAAAATTAGCTTAACAAAGAAATTAGATTTATTGTCTTTCCAAACATTAACAAAGAAATTAGGTTACAGAATGTCATAAATTTACTCGTTTGCTCCTCGAACTGTTTTGCACAGTTGTTTCGCATATCCTTAAATAATTAAAAATTGAAATTTTTCACTCATTTTGTGCATTAAATCAAACTGAATTATATTTTTATTACGCATGTTGATTTTACCTTCCTAACTTTTCTTTTCACTTTTTATGCAAACTAAATCTTTTACTGTAAATATTCATGTTCACTTCTTGGACGGTTTGCATAACACTGAGAAGAGACATTTATCAATTGATCTAATCATTGTTTATTTCTCTTTTTTGAGTAAAAATTAAAGAATGAGACCTGGTGGTGGTGCAATGAAAAAATTTGGTGGGAAAAGACGAATGAGATTTAAGCATAATAAAGTTGTTAAACGAAAAGTTTTGAAAGCACCGAAGAAAAAAGGAATGATCAAAGGAAAGAGTAAATTTAGACAGAAGAAAAATAAACAAAGGATGAAAAAAAGATCGTCAGAAAAAAGTAAGACGAATAGACGAAATGAATTGAATCAATTTATGATCATTTTTTTATCAATTGAATTAATTGTGGAGCTAAATATATATATTTAGAATAGGTAAAGCATATGTTGGATAAGTAAAATCAATACTGATTAAGTATAAATTAAGGATTTCAAGTTATAAATTAACTTATAAATAACAAATTAATGAAATCTAGAAGAGAAATAAGCTTAATGAACGAATGAGTGGTAGCTGGAGATAATGAATTTGTCTATAATCCATTGGTGATAAATTGAATAATTGATAAAATTGAATGATAAGTTTAATAATTGATAAAATTAAATGATAATTGAATGACTAATAAAATTTAATTCAAAAAAAAAAAAAAAGAAAAGTACTGTAAAATATCTTTTATCTATTAAATAAACTAAAGAATTTTACAGTATGCAAAGATTTGACATTAATTTATCATTCGGAACAAATATTATTTTCATTGAAATAATTTACTGATCGATTCCCTTTCTCAATTTCTGCATGTTGCGATCGAATGGATCAAATGCAATGTTGCGAAAAAATGCAATATAACGACCAAATGCGGTGTTGCGGCCAAATGCAATGTTGCGACCAAATGCAATATTACGACCAAATGCGGTGTTGCGGCCAAATGCAATGTTGCGACCAAATGCAATATTACGACCAAATGCGGTGTTGCGGCCAAATGCAATGTTGCGACCAAATGCAATATTACGACCAAATGCGGTGTTGCGACCAAACGCAGTATTACGACCAAATGGAATATTACGATCAATTACAGCGTTGCGATCAAATGGAATATTACGACCAATTACAGCGTTGCGATCAAATGGAATATTACGATCAATTACAGCGTTGCGATCAAATGGAATATTACGATCAATTACAGCGTTGCGATCAAATGGAATATTACGATCAATTACAGCGTTGCGATCAAATGGAATATTACGATCAATTACAGCGTTGCGACCAAACGCAGTATTACGACCAAATGGAATATTACGACCAAATGCTATATTACGATCAAATGGAATATTACGATCAAATGCTATATTACGACCAAATGGAATATTACGATCAAATGGAATATTACGATCAATTACAGCGTTGCGATCAATTGCAGTATTACGATAAAATGGAATATTACGATCAAATGCTATATTACGATCAAATGGAATATTACGATCAAATGGAATATTACGATCAAATGGAATATTACGATCAAATGGAATATTACGATCAAATGGAATATTACGATCAAATGCTATATTACGACCAAATGGAATATTACGATCAAATGCTATATTACGATCAAATGGAATATTACGATCAATGCTATATTACGACCAAATGGAATATTACGATCAAATGCTATATTACGATCAAATGGAATATTACGATCAAATGCTATATTACGACCAAATGGAATATTACGATCAAATGCTATATTACGATCCAAATGGAATATTACGATCAAATGCTATATTACGACCAAATGGAATATTACGATCAAATGCTATATTACGACCAAATGGAATATTACGATCAAATGGAATATTACGATCAAATGCTATATTACGACCAAATGGAATATTACGATCAAATGGAATATTACGATCAATTACAGCGTTGCGATCAAATGGAATATTACGACCAAATGGAATATTACGATCAAATGCTATATTACGACCAAATGGAATACTACGACCAAATGGAATATTACGATCAAATGCTATATTACGACCAAATGGAATACTACGACCAAATGGAATATTACGATCAAATGCTATATTACGACCAAATGGAATATTACGATCAAATGGAATATTACGATCAAATGCTATATTACGACAAATGGAATACTACGATCAAATGCTATATTACGACCAAATGGAATATTACGATCAAATGCTATATTACGACCAAATGGAATACTACGATCAAATGGAATATTACGATCAAATGGAATATTACGATCAAATGGAATATTACGATCAAATGCTATATTACGACCAAATGGAATATTACGATCAAATGGAATATTACGATCAAATGCTATATTACGACCAAATGGAATATTACGATCAAATGGAATATTACGATCAAATGCTATATTACGACCAAATGGAATACTACGATCAAATGCTATATTACGACCAAATGCTATATTACGATCAAATGCTATATTACGACCAAATGGAATATATTACGATCAAATGCTATATTACGACCAAATGGAATACTACGATCAAATGGAATATTACGATCAAATGCTATATTACGACCAAATGGAATACTACGATCAATTGCTATATTACGATCAAATGGAATATTACGATCAAATGGAATATTACGATCAAATGCTATATTACGACCAATTGGAATATTACGATCAAATGGAATATTACGATCAATTACATCATTGCGATCAATTGCAGTATTACGATCAAATGAAATATTACGATGAAATGCTATATTACGACCAAATGGAATACTTACGATCAAAATGCTATATTACGACCAAATGGAATACTACGACCAAATGGAATATTACGATCAAATGGAATATTACGATCAAATGGAATATTACGACCAAATGGAATACTTACGATCAAATGCTATATTACGACCAAATGGAATATTACGATCAAATGAATATTACGATCAAATGGAATATTACGATCAAATGCTATATTACGACCAATTGGAATATTACGACCAAA